CTGGCGGGCGGCCGGCCCGGGGAGCAGGCGACGAACTTCAACAGTCAGTAGCCGCTCGGTGACCGTCTCCCCGCGAGTGTCCGGCGGTGGGGCGGGCAGCGCTGGCGCGGAGGAGGAGGAGAGGGGAAGGGAAGGGACGGGACGGGAGGCGGTGCTGCAGCCGCGCCGGGGCCGAGCCCCGCGGTGCGTGCCCGGGGCCGGGAGCGGTCCGCCCTCCGCAGCCTCGGCCGCTGCTTTTTACACCCCAGGGGGGGCTGGGGCCCGGGGCTGCCCAGGCTGTAGCTGTCCCGGGAGAGGAGAAGGAGCGCGGCTGCTAGGGCTAACCCGTGCTTTTATCTGAAGGAAGGGAAACGCGCCCCTGGTTTCCAGTTTGACTTCAAGACGCAGATAGGCGGCATGATTTGACTCTGGCTTTGGAGGTGACTGCACGCAGCGGGCCCTTAGCTTATTTTCTCCTTTAGTTCCTCAGGCCGCTTTTAGTTTAAGGGCTGCCTCTGAAGACAAGACATTGATCCGAAGTCTCTTATTCTAAATAACGTTTTACACAGCAGTTTGTTCTAGAGAGCTTGCAGACCTACTTAAAGATTTACCGTTGCTTACATTTCAAGTCACTCTGCTGCGGCGGTGCCGCCGGGTGCACTTAGGGACGCGTCGGGTCTGCCCCAAAGCCCTTTCCCTTTGGCTCAGACGGGCACCGGTCGGATGGCAGCGGTGCGTGCAGTCCTCCTCCGCCATCTGCTCCCCAATACCTGTGCGCTGGAGGAGGGGGCAATGTGGACCCCATAGTACTGGGGTCCTCCTGGAGCTGGGTCTTCCTTCCTCCCTCCTTGCTTCTCCCGGGGATCTCGCACAAGCAGTTTGCTCCCCTCCGCATCAGCCCATCAGTGAACTAGTGGAAGAGCTCATTGATCTCTGGGGGTCTTATCAAGAGGGTTCCTGCAATAGCTATTGATTGCTCTGAATGAAAGACGCAGTAAAGACGCAAAATGCTGCTTTTGCTATGACATATTCCTGAGTTATCCACTGCCATCTAGTCCTAGCAGTCATATTTTGCAGTTTCTAAGTAATACAACATTATATACAGGGATGAATTACAGCCATAAATGTGCATTTATAATATGTAAAATTCCAACATAAAGGTAGAATACTTAACGAATATGATTACAATATGCAAGCAGTCCCCTGGACCGTAAATCATAACGACTTAACGCTGATAACCTTAATCTTGAATCAAATAAAAAAATACCTGAAGCCTCCCAAACATGCTGGGCTGGGATCCACCTCTAGGAAATAGAAGAACATTCTTAAAAATCTTGTTCTCTGCTTAGAAATGAAAGGGAAGGCTGCAGGCACATTCCAGGGCTCCCAGGACGTGACCTCCAGCCCTCAGCAGTACCGTCTGTCATTGTGTTAAAAGATTAACTATTTCAAACACTTTTGGCAAGATGCAATTAGGTTTTGGGTTCCTTGTCCCTTTTAATTATTAGAACTTTCTTGTGTGTTTGCAGCCTTACTTACCATGAAGTCCCAGCCTACTTATGTTGCATTTAATTGTTTTATTGATCCATTCGCACAGTGTAAATTGAACCTTCAGGCTCAGCCTGGATGAAAGAGAGCTGGGTAGGGGCACTACCTCGAAAGCAAATTTAAGCTCCAGAGAGTCCTGATTCTCCCACACCGGTACCTTCCTGCCTGCAGGATGGAGCTGCTGTGGCCTTTGAGCAGCCCCAGCTTAACCCCGTTACACCAGGCTAATGGCTTTAGTCAGCAGGCAGAGACCAGAGAGATCACCTAGAAAGCAAAACTGAGCCTTTCATTTAAAGCCAACCTGTATCTACTGGAAAACTAGAGGCTGTGCTGGGCCCTGGGGCTGGACCCAAAATGCAAATGGCCCAGCGGGAGCGTAGAAGGTTCTTTTCTCAGTCATCTATGAAAAAGGCTTTTGCAGTCTTTAGTAGGAATCATTATTTATCTTAATGTTTTTCAGAAAATTTGTATGGAATGGTACACACTCTTTTGGTGACTGGGGGTTTTTTTTTAGGAATCTGTGTACTCTGGAGTCTATGTATGAATAACAAAGATAGTTTTCCTGAGCATTACAGAAAACATTAGTTTAAATAAAAAATTACAGATAATCATTATTACATTATAGTACCTAAAAACCTATCTATTGCAAATCTATTGATCTGGCCTGTGGAAACATTCAGTAAGTGTGTCAAAGTAGTGTAGCGATCTGCACTGTATCCAGGGCTACAGCAGAACACTGATAACTGTAGAGAGATTTACATCTATTTTAAAGAAACAAACCCACTGGGATCCTTTGCTGTTTATGTTTAATAGGTTTTACTGTATTTATGATTATTTCAGAACATAGCCTGAATCCCAACAGTTCTGTGTGGGATATGGATTATGAAAGACTGTTGCACAGTAAGAAAACCCTTCCCGGGACCGTGGGCTCTTACAAACCCTCCAGCCTGTTCAGGAGCAGCTCTCTCCTGAGTCACCAGGGAAGGAAAAGTTTGCTAAGTCAGAACCTGGGCCAGAAACCACAAGAAAAGCAGTTGTCCTGTGACATGCTCCTTAAACTTTCCAGATATGTTCTAATGGATACCTTTGAACCTAGCTTGGCCTGGAATCTCTTTCGGTTGTATAACTGTGATCGAGAAGTCAACCTGCCCAAAATTCCTATCAGTCCTCTCAAGGTGGCCCAGCACAAGGTGAAGCCGTTCTTGCTACGCAGGGTGCTTCGGCTCCTCAGGAACATGGGAGTGTTGTCGGAAGCTCAGCAGTCCAAGGCCTTCTCTCTGCTCAAGAAGCAAATGCTTAAACCAAGGAAAACACCGTTAAAGCCCAAAGTGGAACCAGGTGGTAGGTATAGAAGGAGGAGACGTGGGTTTTGGTATCTCAGATGCATTCTGGTGCTGGCTAAGTGAAGGCGCGGGGCCGGGCTCCGCGCTGCCAGGGCGAGGGGTGCCGGCCAGGGGTGGACATCCCTGGGAGCAATCGGGTAGGCGGTGGTCCTGTGTCGTGCCGGGAGCCGGCGCTCAGCATTCAGGCTGAGCTAGAGCCAGGGCTCAGAGTGCTCAGCCCTAAGCAGGAGGGCTGTGAGGAGGCAGGTAGGAAGCAGTCACCGTCTGCAGAAGAGGAGAGGCTGGACGAAGGCTGGTAGGGTGTGCGGAGGGCGGTTGCCGCAGATGGGCCACTGTACGGAGACAGGCTGTGGGAGTCAATACAGGCGCTAAAAGCCACGTTGTGGAAACGCGGTGACCGGCTCCGTGGGGCTGCCAGGTCCACGGCGGCCCCGGGCGTGAGCGGTGTGTCGCTCCCCACTCCCCGGGGCCCGGCGGTGCACCAGCCCTTCCAGCTCCCACCAGTAGCTGACAGGTTCCACTCCCCGGCTCTGAGCTGGGGGTTGCCTGTGGAAATACAGCTACGCTGCGTTGAAAAGGTAAAATGAATTTCCCCCGAAAAAAGTGGAGAATTACAGGAAATGCGGCTGGGAAGGGGCGAAACAAACAAAGAAGCAAACCCCACAAGCAACCCAAAACCCCCACCAAAATTAATAATAATAAAAGAATCTTATTTGATAATTAGTATAAGGTAGGAGCAAATGGCCCGCGCGCGTCCCCCGCTTCCAGGATGCGCAGGCAGGTTTGCCCAGCGCGGGGAGGGGGGAGGGAGCCGGGGCAGCGCGCGGGGCGA